AACTCCATTTCTTGTTGTTACCGTTTTTGTGTTTGAACTCCATTTGTTCCGTGTTTTTTGTGCTTTCTTGTTTTTTTGGTGTGGTGGGGTGGGGGGGGTGGGGGGGGTGTGGGGGGTGGGGGGGGGTGGGGGGGGAATGATTACGTCACTTCTTCGAGTTTGCTTGACAAGAACTTCTTTATTTCCTGTTTCTGTGGGGTGTGTGATGTTCTCTGTTAGTGTGCTGAGCTGTCTTGTTTTGCTGTAGCTTGGTGTCAGAAGACGTTCGTCTAGCGTTTGCCTTCATCGTCTTGCTGCGTTTGGCTGGCGTCTCGCATTGCTTCTCCACACACTCGGCGCTGGGTCCTTTCTTCACTGTTTGGCTGCCTTACTTGGACTCTCTTCTGGACGTCGCATGCCAACCAGCGGACCCCATCTCGTCCTTTGTGTCTGCTGTCACGGTATGCCCACATAGGTTTCCGCTTGACTTTTCGGCTTTAGACGCCTACGTTCCTTTCTTGTGGTCCACCTGGTGTGCATCCTGGAGTCGTCATCTGCTGCGCCCTTGCTCTGCTTCCATCGGCGTGGCTTCTGCTTGTTGGGTCTTGTCTCGTCGCTTGTCTGGCTTACGTCTCGTCGCTTTGGGTGAAGAACAGACTAAGGACCCCTTCCCCCCGTCGGCTTTTGAAAAGAGAGTTCATCATGCGGCTCCCAGGCAACATGCAGTCTTGAACCTGCCAGTGTGTTGCCTGCAACCGAAAAACCGACAACTATTTTTGTGGAATTTTGGGTGAAGAACAGACTAAGGACCCCTCCCCCCCGTCGGCAATTGAAAAGAGAGTTCATCATACGGTTCCCAGGCAACATGCAGTCTTGAACATGGCTAAATCCTTGACACACGATAGTTGGGGGCTGGAAAAATGAGCGTGCCAGTGGGATTCGGGAACGCAAGAAATTCCCCACTGTCTCGGCCATTTTACATGAGGGACAAAATCCTTGACACACGATAGTTGGGGGCTGGAAAAATGAGCTTCTGAAAGCAGCGTGCCAGTGAGATTCGGGAACGCAAGAAATTCCCCACTGTCTCGGCGCATTTTACATGAGGGACAGACGGGGCTCTCCTTGTCCCCCTGTAATCGCAGCTTCGACAGGTTGCTCCGAAGCCAAAAAACGCACGATATTACACGGGCTACTATGGGCGGTGTACCTAGTTGATTAAACCACCAAATGAACCAGGGCCCTCTATGTTTAAACCAAATCAACCAAAAAGGACACCTATGCTCGTCACACGAGCATATGATCTGCAAATGAGAATGACAGGCCTGCTGTCTACTTCAAATCAGCGTCTGCAAGGCATCGAAGTTCCGAACATGGCTTGCTAAATGACAGGTGCAGCATATGAGTGTGTGTCCCCCGCACAAAGAGCTTCTACGCTACCGGGGGGTTGAAAAAACACCCAAAACAGGGTTGTCTGAGTTGCTTTTCCACTTCTGGGAAAACGCCCCTCCCAAAGACGATTTGTTTTGCTTGGCAGCAAAAAGGCAAACAGGGCCCCACCAGCCCGAGCCGTCGACCCGGGTCCTCCCATTTGGGATGCTCCAGCGTGCCCACCTGGCCACTCGGCGAAATCGGGAACCACCGAACCACCTCTAACGCTTTCAAGCAAATACTCAGAGGAACTCCTATTGCAAAATAGCATGGAAGTCAACAATGGGGCTGCAATATGTCCATGACCTGACCAACACCCCAACGCATGTGCTGAGGGACTGCTTCTGGGCAGCCTCCAGGGAGCTTGTTGATCCCTCGACTTCACACTGTGCTCTCCAGTGATCTGAATGTCAGAGATGTACATTGTTATTCCCAAACCCGAAAGGGAACCCCAAGAAAAGCACCTTCGACATATGCTTTACCTGACCTCGCCTAGATTAATTGGTAGTCGCACAGTCGCAAAGTTCCAGCCGCCTCAACTCACCTAGTTCCCCAGATCCACATGAGGCAGGCTGGCATTGGGATTGGACGTTGACAAACTTGGGATCAAACGGGAATTTGCTCGTCATAAGGGCTCCGTTCTAGCCGTTCTCCTTTTTGAAGCCAGCAATCCCATCCCTGCCTGGAAATCATTTGCCCTGTCTGAGTGAAATTGACTTTTTGTTGTGTGAATGTGCACCCTCTCAAATAACCCCGCCCCGCCCGTGAAGGGACATGGTTGTGGAAAATGGATGACCCTTTCTGTGATATCGTGCGATGAGCTCAACATCTCGCTCTGAGCACTTTGTCACTATTCATGGTGGAAAGGATTGTAGATTGATATCACACAATGCGGCTACCCAGAATAATTGTCCAATTCCACTTCAGCCATGTTTCAGAAGCCTTTAAGTCAACATCCCCTTGCCTTGTAAAGCTTGGCGCGCGGCAAATTCTGGTTTTTTTCTGTCGGGGTCCAAATCGCAATAGCAGGGATTACATTTTCCGATCTTGGAAGTCCGCCGTTTAGGTAAAGCTACAGTCCAAGCCTTCCCATACCCAGTCTCAACACATACAGGAAACAAGGTACTTGGCCATTATTTTTATTGCCGAGAAACTCCTGACTCATCATCCTGCGCGCGCAGGAAAAGACTTACGCGAGAGCTCAACTCGCAACTGCAACTTGGCCCCGGCTTCGAGCAATGAAGAATCTATGTTTCCATGGACACCTCAGCACGTCTCAAAAAACCAATCAAGTCACCAAAGGTTTTCGCAGAACAGGGGCTCTGAAGACTTCGGTGGGGCACACGGAAGCACTGGTTAGACTGTTTGATGACGCTTCATTCAGCAGTGCTCTCTTCGATTTCCTTCATATTGCAAGTGGGGACTCAGAGTATTTCCCCCATTCTGTCCACGACTTCTTGCAGAATAGTCTACCCTATCATCATTTTGCAGCTGTCCAGACGGCCCACAAGCTGCTGTTCGAGCTAAAAAGGTAGGGACCAGCTGAATACTTCATCCAGTCTTCTGGGATCATGAGGTAATTGCCCCACCATTCACTTTGTTCAGGCCCTTCCAGTACACAACCCGAAAGGGCCTTTCTGGGGGATAGACTTTGAAGGGATGCCCTCCGACCAAAACGAACACCGCAACGGCAAGCAAGCTGTGGTCCGTTCTGATCTTAAAAGGCACCCGGCAGTGGACGTCACATTAAATTTGCGGCCCTTGTCAACTCGCTGAACTGGAGTATCTATCGAATTCATACAGCTTCACTGAAAAATCTCTTGTTAACACCTTGGTCGCCTTAAGTTGCCCAAAAGGGCGCTACTACCGATTAAACCAGGATAAAGGAGTCAAACTAGTTGAACCATGTATCTTGAAACTCCGTCATAGCTCATGAAAGTGGACAAACACCAAGACGTCATGCATTTAAGCTGTCCCATCCACGGTGACCCCCCTTCCAACATCTGCCCAAATGACTATCATACACGCCCCAAGTTTGCAAATTTCAGCAGTGGCTTAGGCCTGGCAGCTGCTTGGCAGCTGCAAGGGTCAAGCAAACTGCAGGAAGCTTCAGGATTCCTAAGTTAGCTAGTCAAGGTGATCTGCTGCCTGGCCCAAAAAAACCTTTAAGAATCCCTAAGAAACGCCAAACAACAACAAACAAAAAAAGCAAAACAAAAAAAACAAGCAAAACAAAACAGAACAAACAACATATTTGAGAGGCCTGGCAAAAATAAAAAACAACATCGCCCCATGGGTCGCCCGCACCTCGTCCTGCCCCTTTGGCTGCAGCATTGCAGGCCCAAGGGCCTGGCGACCACGGATTCGGGGGAACCCACTGACTCGTATTGAACGACCAAACGGGGGCATCCCTTAGCAAAGGCACCTCTACAGTTTCTGTAGGTCAAATGTGCATATAAACAGTATGGGTAAACAAAAACATGTATAAGATATACTGTTTGTATATATATATATATATACATATGTATATACAAATGCGCGTACATGTAATGTGTACATAGTAACACGCATGAATTGCAGCTTCATGTAATGCTGGCCTGGGACTTCAAAACCAAGAACTACCACGCACTATTCTGGACGACATGAATTTGTTTCAACCGAATGCCGACTTTGCGATGTCAATGAGTCAACACAACTCTCTTCATGTTGTGATCCTCTCCGGGAATCCAACCAGAAAACTAAACAACAACACGATAAATATGAAATCGATTCTGAAAGAAGCCGCCTACCTATGCCTATCTGGTCTCCAAAGCCGCTTTGGTAAGTAAACTATCTTGAGTGAGAGGGGGGGCATTCCCCTTTCCGTGGCCAAGCTTTCCCAAAACCCTTCAAATTCTCGAGGGTTAATCCATGCACCAGCCAAAGCGTGTACAGGTCCTTCCAGTATGGCAAGGCTCATATGATATATTACGAGCCCCCTTGGAAACGAGCAGCTGAATATAACCAAGTTGCTGGGTAGCTACCCTATCATATAACATAGAACCCACCAGGCCTGTTTTAGACGCTAGATGGTCAGCCAGGAACCTCAGTCAGGTTTTGTTTTACATTACAAACTACTTCGTGGCTTGAGGTGTAAAAAACAGGAGGCAACGGCTCACATGCGCCTCGAGATAAGATCGACATCGAGCCGGCAGAAATGTTACACCCATTCAGAAACCGCAAGCACTGGTTTGGATGAACGAGTCGGTTCACATCTCAGGAAATGTCAAACATAGGCTTCGGTTTGTTGCGATCCATTTTGGTACGACATTTTGAGGCGCCTTGACAAGGCATCCCCCAAAACAGAGGTTCGCCAACCTTGCCATTGACAAAACCTCTGAGTTGAGCACGAGTTATAATTGACCAACTTTCAGGAATGACCGCCATCACTGGGCCGGAGCTCGTTTCGGCCCTTTCACAGAGCCATAGACAGAACTGGGTTGTCCTCCGATCCCCCGCTAAAAGGCTAAAGCTAAGGGGATGGCTGGGAACCACCAAGAAAATCATTCACTAGTCATCAACAATCGTCTGCTCACCACAAGCAAGCTCGGCTTCATTACCCTCTATGCTCGTGAGCTCTCTCAATTTGCGTGCAACATATTTGACAGTTGCCGGAGTGCGACAAGTGAAACGACTAGCTGAAGGCCTCGGTCGTTGAACCTACCATTCGCCGTCTCTCTCTTAGCAGGCGTGCTGCTTCTGCGACACGGGCAGCAAGACCCCGCGATGGGTGCGAAGCTTCGCCAGGGAATCCCGCAAAAAGGCGACGCCTGAACCGACGGCTCTCGTTTGAGGTTTTAAGAATGGAGCACACAGATCGTCCATGTGTCTTGCTTTAGCCGTGCCGTTTATTTTAAGCACAGAACATAAGCTTCCACCAACAAACGCGGAAGTGCGCAGGCCCTTTCTGGAAACGGAAGGGCATACATGTGTGCGGATGATATATACATATTGATACTCACATGCCCGTGAAACTGCACCGCAATGAGAGGCAACTCACTAGATCGAGTCAAAACAAGCAAAAGGACAAGCACAGGGAATCCCGACAGGGAGATCCTATGAGCCTCAAATCCCACCCACAATCTGGGGAAAGTCAAGGCCTTGTCCATGGATCCTCAATCCTTGGGACTTACTCGCTAGATGGAGCAGAGTGCAAAGGGGCTACTGCTCCTTCTAGACTGTCAATAGGGGACCATTGCAGCGCAGGTCACTCAACAAAATCAGGAGGTGTAACACTAAGGGATCCAACCCTGTGTCACAAGTACGGACCCAAATAACCAAATTGCAATCAGGAATTCCATGGGCTGCAGGTGCCACTATATTAATCATGACCATTATCATCCAAAACCAACCAGGAAAACACTCAAGGTTGCTCGGACTGCATTCTTTACGCTTCTTAAAATGTGAAGGGTCAAAAACAACGGCCCCTTTTCTGAGCAAACTTCGCAACTGAAGCTAGTGTTGCAAGAATCCGCGGCAAAAATATGCGCACTCTCTTAGTTTCCCTTGGAGATCATTCCCCCCAAACCAAAAACAAGAACGCCTACATGGGAACCGTTGGCTACCGCGCTGATCTGAGGTCAACGCTGGCAAAGGTCTTGCCCAAAGACATGAGGAAATTACGGGTTCCATCCCGCTAAACTGACCGACATTGGAAGTCCGGCTCACTTAGCCGTAAAAGCGCTTGCCGCCAGACAACTCACCCCAGGCTTAAACAAAAAAACATCTGCTCTTGCGACCAAGGCCCAAAGTCTCAAAAGAACAGCTGAAATCCTGTTGGGACCCCCGGTTGAAAAAAGCCAAGCGCCGACGCGCGCCGAGCCCCGCAAGGGACTTCACTTTCTGCCCAGGCGCAGGCCGCCGTGGCGGCAAGGTAGAGGCAAAAGGTCCTGAAATACGAGCGAGGTGAAGACGCCTTCGCGACGATCAGCTGCTCCTCTGCCTTTTGCAAGACTGGGGGCATGGGCGTGTTGTGTTTTCGGAGGATGCGAGAGTTTCGGAGTTGTTCACAAAACGAAAAGAAACCACTCACCTTATATTGAACTGTAATGTGTGCTTCGTGCCGCTGTCAAACTTACTTCTGTGATGACAGGCCCTTCGCTTCTTGACATTATGTAGTCTATCTACGGGAGAATCGATGAAAAGTGGGTTTGTCACCAAGGCGCGGAAACCTCATAGTGGCCCGCCTCAACGTTACACGCTGGAAAGGCGCTTGAAATGGCCATGAAACTTCCGAACAAAGAATGGGCTCTCACCTCCGAAGTAGTACTGGCGTCTGCTTCAAGCCTGGCCTGTCAAAGCTGTCTGCGGTGGGCCACTGATGGGAGCCTCAGGGTCTGGTCTGTCCCCGCCGTGTGGTCGGACCACTTGTGGTCGGACCACTCCGAAATGCCGGCAGAAGCTACTGGCTCAGTCAGTGAAAGGCTGCTGCGCCGCACAGCCTTTGTCTTCGGAAAGGACATGTTCGAAGAACCAGTACATTAATGGCAGACGCACGCAGCTATCAAAAAAGGTTAACTCAAGAAAAGGGGATAACGGTTGAGGCGAAGCAGGAAACCGTGGCGAGCCGTGAGCCGTGCAAAGCCCCAAGGAAATAAGAGGAAACTTCCTGTGGACACCAAGGGGAAAGGAAAGCAAGCGCCAAGGCGCGCACTTGGAAATCTCTTGGCGTCCTTCTGCGGATGGCCCTGCAGGACCAGCGCGCCGCGTTTGTCATCTATGCCCCCATCAGGTGGCGGAGCCGCTCCACGGCAGCTCTGTGCGTTGCCAGAGGCGCAAGGTTGCTTCACCCTGCGTGCCCTATAGAAACACAAGTGGAGTGAATTTGCACGTCGACTTAGGTAGCGAAGCTGGGAAATTCAGAAAGTCTACCGCCTGCACTGAAGAAGCTGTCGCTCTGGGTACCTTCAAAGCTGGCTTTGCTGTGTCTGGGGCCTTCTTGCAGCACGCATTCTGTCGGACACCTGCAGAAGCATCACAGCTTGAGCTGATGGCAGGCAGGCACTCTCCCCCGATCGCGGCTCGCAGCGTCAGTTCAGGGCAGCTCTGACAAAGAAGAACTCGGCAAGGAGGGCAGGAGCTGGCCGACGCCCGCAGGTTAGATCTGTCGGGCTCCTTTCCCTCGAGCTCCACTGATTGGCTGTCTTGCGAACTCACTTGGTCGCAAAGTAGTTGCGGCCGCCAGCGATTGGAAAGCTGAGCCAACTGCATGACTTCATCTGGAATATTAGCAGCGCTGATCGGACCACATCCCCGGCTGCCTGCCAAATACAATATATAACTAGTGAGCTTCTTGTAATAAGCTGCTATCTCCTCCACTGACGTCTCCAAGGCTGCTAAGCGCTGACCAACTACTTGCAGGAACCAGAAACTCAAGGTGCTGATCGGCCAACGAAACCAATGCCTGGCATGGGGGGGGGCACTGTGGAGCTGAGGTCGGAAAGGTTGTACTGCACAGCTGACAAATCTAACTTCGGCTCGAACTCCACAAAGTCTCCGGCCTGAGCAACGCAGCCAAGCTTTGAACTCACCCACCTCACCCCCTACGCCAGCACTCCGAGCGACAAGAGCAAAACCCTGAGACCGATTTGGAAAGAGGCCAGGAAGAGCTTGGCATTGCGCAAGCTACTCGGCAACTGTTGCCGGGTCTTTGCCCAGAGCAGAAGAAATCTCAACATAGCCCACTCAGATCAACTGCGTGGCCATCGTCCGCAAGTATGGCACGCTGATGTAGCCCAACGGGACGGGTGCCGCTAGCAAATCAGCTGCCTCACCCATCGCCGCTTCCAATGCTAACGCTCGGGCTGATAACTCAGCCACGCCTCTGCAAAGGCTCTGGATTTCGTCAGGAGAACAATCGTTTTCGCACCAAGCCCGTTCCTGATTTCAGCAGGTTTCCACAAACCACGAACCCTCTGACGGATGTAGGTTTGCCGGGCCAAGCACAATAAATCGAGAAATTGACCAAGCAAAATACGGAGGATAATGAAACTCAAGTCCTAACAGAAAACCGCAGGTGGATTGGCGACTTGGACAGGAGGGTCGACCAAGGCTGCGGAATACCGCAGATCTCGTGCCGGAAGTCTTGCCGCGCAGCCATAAAGCATGGATGGCATTCATCGTGAGACCATCTGCTTCCCCTGTTGGAAGGATCACATATTGCAGCTTCATGACAATTCAAAGCGGTGTTCCCTTTATTGGATTAGCTGAGCAGAAACATGGGTAAAGCAGAACATCACCCGGTGCTCAGCTTTGAAGCAAGTCACCCAACCACTTACTATCCCAGGGTCCAAGTACCCATCCTCAGGAGTTACTTCGACCCCTTTTTACCCCCAAGAAGCCATCCTCAGGGCAGCAATAACGAGCAAACCAAGCAGAGCAAACGAAATGACAAGAACGTCGCCGATCTAATAGGTCGCAACGGCATAGTGTATAAGTACTTGGACCTATCCCAAAGGGTCCAGGAGGTACTTGGACCCCTTTTTGCCCCCCAGAAGCCATCCTCAGGAGGTACCAAGAGACCCTCTGGGTCTGTTTCCACCGACACCGGGCCAGGGTGCCGTCCATGGCATTTGACTCACAGCCACCGGCGCCGCCGCTTCGGCCGCCCGCTGCATCTCGGGCGTGGAGGCGGAGACGCTGTGGCGGGCCGCCCATTCCTAGGCCAGTGGGGGCTGTTGGCATTTGGCTGTGGGTCCTAATAGGGTAACCCCCAAATGGCTTGCCCTAGTCAGTGAAACCTCCATTTGGTTCAGACCCCTGGAAAAAATATGTTCAGCAGTGATAAATTCCTGTTAAAACCAACAAGAGAAAATCAAACATATTCTCAAGTAAATGGAAGCATTTGGCGGTGGGTCAAAAATACTGTGGATGACCGAAATCCATTTCGCACCACCTCAGAGACCCTGGAAGGATGATTCCCATGTAAATACCAACAAACAGTGGTTTCAACCATGGTTTTAAAGTGGTGCAGGATTTCGTCCATCCACAGTAGGTACCCCAAATGGATTGCCCTAGTAAGTGGACACATGGACCAAAACCTGAGGTCCCCTGGTGGTTGAATTTGGACCCATACCCATTTGAGTCATCGGGCGATCCCTGCATTTTTGTCGCTTTGCGGTTGGTTTCGTTTGGTTTCTGTTGAAACCAACCTCAAAACTAGGCTGTCCTCAGATTTTCTGGAAAACCAACAGAAAAAACGATTCGCATGGCTTGCAATTGAGATGCGTCTGCAGTCATGGGGTTGGCTTTGCCCGCAACGTGCGGGAAAGGGCATTCCCTTGGGTAAGCGTGGTGCAGCCACTGGGCGAACAAACGCCCGTGCAACGGCACCTGGCCACCGTGGTGGCTTGCCACCTCATTCATGCGGCTCTTCAGGCTGTCTGGCAGCGTTCTGGGAGCCGGCACCGTGGCAGACGGCAGCTCAGACACCAGAGACACAAGCTGCTCAGGGCTTGCCTCAGGAGCAGCCACCTGCCTTTCCAGGTGGCCCAGCAGGGCTTCGCACTCGTCGATGCAGCAAACTGAGTAGACGCTGCTAGAGGCCACACAGTTCGACTGCGAGTTCACATAGTTTGGGATCAGAACTGCTGGATTGGCAGGGTCAGACTCGTCCAGGGCACCGAGCTCTCGCAAGTAGTCCACGCTCTCAGAGAACTGCCAATTCCCGTTCAGGGCGGACCCATAGAAGTCCTTCAAAAGTACCCTGCCTGTGCCTGCATGCTCAATCTTGGTCAGCAAACTCTTGAGATCTCGGCACTCGGCATCTTGCCAGCGGCCATAGCGCTCCCCGATCTCCTCCACAACTGCTGTTGCTGCACGGAAGCTCAAATTGCCTGGGGAAAAGTCAGCATCGGCTGCCTGCGCAGCAACCACGCTGGATCGCACTTGCATGGTGAACTTCTGAGTGTCATGCCAGCCAGGATAGGCATCGACAACCTTACTTGTACCGAGAATAGTTCACACTCCCGGCGTTTTCAGAGGTCACTATGCCCCTTCGAACGGTGCAATTCACAGGCGGAAGTTCCCAAAAGGGAAATGGAGGGATGCATGCCAAGGGTACTAGTAGGTAACATGTAAAGCCCTTGTCGGCAACATGTCCACCGGGTTCCTCTGAAGAAGCCCTCAAAGAACGACGCGGGTTTTTGAGGTTCGCCTCGTGGAGGGGCCGAACAGCTGAGAAGTTCAAAAGAGTCACAGGCAATACGCGGTGCTACAATGGTTTACCCAATAAAAGAATAGACGGTCCAACAATTTTCACGGCTGTCATTGGCCCGGCCAAATCTTGAATTGCCCTGGTTTGATTATGTCAGGCCACAGTGCGGCGATCCTCGCCCACAGATGCTGCCGTGAAGTTGTTGCTGCCGACCAAAAATATGGTCATGTAGGTGTCGAGCAGTTCCTTGCTGGCTGAATTTCATGAAAAATAGTGCGGATATCAGGGGCCAAATACTTACACATCATGGTCCTCCGATCAAGACTGCTTTGATTGAAAGTCCCCTCCAATTGGGGCCCTCATGGTTCAGGAAATGGTACGGGAGGCTTGTGACCCCAGTTGCCGAGGAATGAAGTGCAACAAAATTCGGCTGGCCAAGGGACCTATGCAACAATGCATGGCCCTTTTTCTGTAGTCTATTTTAGTAGGGAAACCCTCCAATCAAAAAAGGGGTTTAAAAAGGGCACCCAGCCTGGGGACCTGATGACCTGCCATGCCATGGACCCAACGACTGCATCCATGTTCCCCCCTTCAAGTTGGATGTCTGGAGATTAACCTGGGAGTAGCAGTCCTTGGATTTGGAGCACTGCCGTTGGCTATCGAGGTCCAGAACACTTGTGGCTTCCCCGCAGAAATAAAGGGAACCACCATCTAAGCGGAATTCTAACAGCGCTTGTAAGCACGCGTCCGAACCCAATGGCAACATCGGATTTATCCGGACTGTGCTTGATCAGCGTGGTCCTCTGAATGAATCCGAATTTGACGTTTTGTAAAGTCCATTTGGGATGTTATAAGGGAGTCCAAAGAAGGCGGAGAATATGGCTTGAAAACCGGCAATATGCTCGGGGGCATTGGGGGCCGTTTAGTTTCTTGGTTGCTGTTGACCCCCCTGCTAAAAGTTTGACTTTTTAAGGGTTGTGGAAAAACCAACTTGATTTCAACCAAACAGTTAAAGTCTAAAGATCCCACCCAATAGCAGTCAAGGTTTAGGGGGCAAACATGATGCTTGAACCAGGCCTGAAGGCCATTCTCGTCCAGGCGGGCCTCTTCAGATACCTCGACTGACGGAAGGCCCTAGAACGCCACAAGCCCTGCGGTATATTGCTGGACAATTTGCAAATCCCCTTCAACCAAAAAGCAAGCCCTATATAAATATATATATATATTATAAACACTAAGTCCGAACAGGCTACATTGTGTGCCTGGTACACCGCAGAGAGTCTGGCGACTGCCTCGTCATGGATCAGATGCTCAAGGGTGGCCGCAAGGACGGCAAGCTCGTGCAACCCAAGCCCTTGACCTTTGAGACGGTCTTCAAACAAGGATAGCACGAAGGAGGGCACGTGGTCTTGAAGCACTTCTGAAGTCGACATGTTCTTCCATTCCATTCCGCTGGCCTCCAAACCCTTGATGTGTATGGCATGCCGCTGCACAAAGAGCCGATGAAGCACATACCTGGCAGCGGCATCTTCCAAGTTGCCGAACTCGTTCTTGGGCATGGCTTCGAAGCTGGGACGAGCAGCATCCTCGATGACCTTGAGACGCTGCTGGGTGACTCGGTTGCCGCTGCCAAGGGCGGCCGTGACTTCTTGCAGCACGGTTTCCCGAAGTTGCTCGGCGCTCATGGTGCCTGCCGCCGCATGGAGCTTTCCGCGCAGGCTGGCATCCACGCTGCCGAAGAGTGCAAGGACAAGGCAAAAGCGAAGGGCCATCGCCTCAGTATCCCCAGCAGGCATGCGAAAAGGTCCTTTTAATGAACGGGAAAGCAACAACAAAAAGAGAAAGCCAAACCCGTGCCACTGGACAACGGGTCGCCTCGGAATATGAAGGGCCTGAAATCACCAAGCTAATCACGGGCTGTCGCGCGAGGTGTGCTGCGGGAAGGTTTGCCATCGTGTCCGAAAGGCTCTTGGAACCTTCTTAAAAACCGAATGCTAGAAACCAACGCTCTGAGGGACAGGGTCCCTCATGTCTTAGTATCTTGTGGTGACCCCTTCTAGCAAGTAAGGGTTTTACAGTTTTCGCAGTAGCGGGCTACATCGTGTCAAAACACCCTTATCATGGTGTGCTTCTTTTGGCAACTTCCTCCATTTCAGTGTGTCCGTTTCGTTGCTGGAGGGAAGCCAAAAAGGAAACCATGCTAACAAACTTGCACAAGTCTGTTTTCTAGGTCCTCCAGTAGAGAGGTTGGAATAAGGGTGCCCTTTTTTTTCTGTAGTCTATTTTAGTAGGGAAACCCTCCAACCAAAAAAGGGGTTAAAAAGGGCACCTAGCTGGGAGACCTAGTTTTGGACTCGTTTCAAAGCAAACAGCTCTGCATGGTCTGTACCCCCGGCTCCGGAGCCCCGCGTAAGCACGCCCCAAGCGAGCGGAGCATTGGCAGTTTTATTGGCGCGCCGCGGCTCGATTCTGCGTGCGCTTTGGAAGTCAACTTGATGAAACTTGCTGCAGCAACTTGATGCTAGCGTCGTTCGCAACACAGGCGGGTAGAAAAGCTAAATTTCAGTTCACCAATCACAGGGATCCTTACATTATACACCTGAACATTGCAACTTGTAAATGGTGGTTTCCCCTTATTTTGGCAGAAAACGCCACGTGTCTCAAATGGAGGCAAAATGAACTTCTTTTGAGGAGCCTGAATTAGAAGCTTAAGGAAAGCTGCCAACCCGAAGGTGGTATCAAGACGGCATGGATCTCTGGGGGGCCACGCTCCAGCGATTTTTGCGTCCAAACAACATGCAATGAATGGAGCCGAGTCTTTGCCAAAGCGCCCTGTGCACAAGTCCATTTCCCGAGCATCTTCTGTAAGGGTTCGAGACCTAGTGGCCATCATGCGCCCGGCATGAAACAGCTGAGAAGCGAGGACCAACACATGCCCAAAACTTCAATTCGCGGACCCCTGTTTTCTATTGACCGCCACCGAGAAAACTACAAACTCTGCAGGATTTCACCAAAGCCAGGGCATGTCAGGAGAATTTCCTGTAGAGTTTCCTGTAGCTGGCTATGTGATCGCTAATTCTTCATAGAACCTCTTGGAGGTGGCTTCCATGACTGGGACTTTGAATGGTTGAATCCTTATACATCCCATCTGTAGTGGTATCCGAAGGCTTCTTTTGACAACGCCCGGTTTTGGGAGCAAAGAACAAGGCACCCCTTCGAGGGTTTCGACCCACACTTTTCGGCTTTGGGTCCTGTCAAAGGCCAAGCCTGGCTGAAAGCACAAAACTCAGTGAATGTGGGGGATCTAAAAGACCGAGCCGGCGCTCCAGTGAGCCCAGTGAACATTGATTCTAGGCCCCCCTTTCAACCCCCTTCTAGCCTTGCTTAGATGTTGTTTGGAAAAAATGTGGCGCTCCACTCCACCTACAATTGACCCCACCAATCCTACATTCTGAATTAACTATGCTGCCCAGTTCTCTCAAAAATTGGACTCTGCAGTAAGTCAACCCAGCTTAATTTTCCAGTGGCAGCTACGGGGCCTTAGCTTGGTGATTTCGGTTTCAAGCAGGTTTTCACATTCTTGGACTTCGTTAGCTTTCTCACCTTTGCCTCGTGCAGGAAGGCACAGATGCCGGAGTTCAAGGTTTGCGCGCGGGACTCCAATGACCTGAGACATCTCACGATTTTCTGGCATTTTCCGGCGAGCTGTTTCCCTGCCCCAGACAAAGAGGTCGACATTTGCTTCTTGGGGCACTTGGGCGCCTATTGTTTTGGGTGGGGGAAATGGATGAGCCTCCCTTGTCCTCCCCAAACTAACAAGTGACTGCCAGCAACTCGGTCACTTTCAACTTCTGGGTCTTCCAGTAGAGAGGTTAGAATAAGGGTATCCTTTTTCCTGTAGTCGATTTGGTAGGGGAACCCTCCCCCAAAAAAGGGTGAGAGAGGGCACCTAGCTGGGGGACCTAGACTCGTTGCTTTGCCAAGCGCAGCCGCGAGGCTTGGTAAAGGGCTTCAAATCGCCGGATCGCCCGTCGCCTGGCAGCACAACAACATGAAAAGTCAACGTTCAGAGAGATGCCCAGGGGCCATGGAATCGGCTATTTTTTTTTTGTTGGCTGAGTTTAAAGGGTACCCTTCCCCAAAAAAGGACAAAAGGGCACCACTGGGCAACTGGAGAGTCCCGTGAAAAATGAGGGGGGGGGGGAATCCCAAATGCTAATTCGGACTCCGGTGGGACACCGTACAACAAGCAGAAACCGTTGTGGGTGCTCTAAATGGCAATACAGGGTGAAGGAATAGTTGTTTGAGGTGGGTGTCGTTTTTGAAAAACACGGTGTCTGTTAATTGTTTGCAAAGGATACAGGATAGGAAATCAGCTATTTTGATTAAGGCATTCCTGGATTCATAGGTATGTTTCGACACGGGGTTCTTCGTGTCTGCTGCGTTGTCTAGAACCCTATCTACAATAAAGCACTACAGGTCTTCTCGCATGGCAGGCCGTGACGACAACATGCACAACCATGGAAGATACCCTCCCTAAACAATTCAGGGATGGACAAAGCTACCAAACTCTCACACGCTTTAGATTTGATTCAGGCACCAAAAGAACCTGTACTGCGGAGTATCTATTCATTTGGCGCTGGTCACTAACTAGTCCATTCCAATGCAACAGGTTTCACCTTAAAGCAGCACTCCACTTATCTCATGCAAAGAGCGTATCTAGTAAAGAATGACTTTGCCCAGTTCTCCTCCAACTCGGCTTTGATTCTGGCTCACATGTGTTGTCTAAGTGATCTTCCCGACCCTTTCAAGTGGGCGGCTTTCCTTGTGGCCCGAACTGGGCCGGTTTCCCTGAGACCTTTGGGAACCTTTCAACCGCAAGACCCCGCCTGAACGAAGGATCCCCCAAACATATCATCTCTAAAGTTGACTCACTGGCAAGCGCAGGACCTAAGGGTGAACCCTTTCGAGTTACAAGCTGCCACGAAGAGGTGGATTCGCAAAGCTTCCACAGTACCCTTGAAACTTGCCATGCCTTCCAACCAGCGCCTGCCATGCAAACCGACCCCCAGCCACGTCACACAATCTGCCTGAGAGGGCTGCAATGGAAACCTGGCGATCGGAGCCAGTCGCAAGTTGCACAGCCTCCACCAAGCCCAGCCAATTGCAGTATGGGTATGAACTTCAATAGGGACCCTGGGGTGGATATCAATTGCGGAGTTGTTTGTTCACCATTGCAAATTCATAGCTGTATGAGCTGATCATGATCGGCAAAGTCTTTGTGAGGAATCAGAGTGTACCCCGCATATTCTCCCCAAGACATGTGCTTTGATCACAGTATGTGTTTTGTAGTATCACGGTCGCTGGACCCATGCGTGTTGAAAAACTGGCAAGCTCAGCGCCGGTCAACATGGCACAATCGTCTGAAGAAGACGGCCACAAACACTCGCTGCCTCCGTTACTCTATCTTGTTGCATGCAATGACCTGGAAGCGATGATTCACTCGGTGTCCAAATGCATGTAACATGTGTTTCGCATTGGCACTAAGGATTGCTGTTGGCCTAGGACAACAATTTGTTCGGTGGAAAGGCGAGGACGAGGACTAGCGTGACCTGGCCCAGGGACACACAATACTACAGGCTTAGCCCACCAACACTAGTTTTTCCTTCAATCTCCTCATTTTGGAACAAACCGTTCCTGTCTCGAAAGGGTTGTGCACATGAATGCAAGCATTTGGGAGCCCTGGAAATTCAAGGCGCAGGTGAGGGTAGAAGCAGGTCGAAGAGGGACAAGCCAACCGTTTTTTTAGGTCTTCGAGCCTGTGCGATGCCACCAAGCAGTTCTTGGTGCCTAACATCCAAATCCTATCATGATATGCTTGATGTTGGTTACGTAACCATGAAACATCCTGGGCTATTCCGGCTGGTAAGTACCAAGTACCAGCCATGACCACTTCAGTCTCATATGGACGTCGACGAATGAATACGGCACATGGAGCATACGGAAAAGTGGGACCGAATGGGAACATCAAAACGGGATCTCAAAGGCTCGGGAAAACACACGGCTGAAGTGAGCGGATTGGCCAAGAATTGGGCCCAAGCTTTTTGTTTGCCACTGAGCTGATCTTCCCAAAGGTATGTCCAGGAACTCGTTTTGGAGCTCGGACAGTCAAGAAAATCGGAAACCCCAACAGCCACAGCCACAGCCATTGGACCCGTTGCAAGAGGGCAAGGCATCTGTTTCAAAAAGTTCAAAGCCAGGCCGCGGGGCCGCGAAAGCGAGGCCTCCTCCAGCAGCTCTGCCAGCGAGGCTTCGAAGCGTTGCAGGCCCTCGTCCAGCATGCCCAGCTCCTCGTAAAAGGTCTTCCGCAAAAAGTGTGCTTCACTTTTTGGGGGGGTTAGTGGAAAACCCAACTTGATTTCAACCGAAAAGTGAAAGTCTAAAGATCCGTTGCCCAATAGCAGACAAGTCTTGTACCCCTTTGATTTTTATAAGCTGAAGTCTCCCGGGAACAAACGCATATGTCCAGAATCCAGTAGTGGTAGATTCCCTTCAAAGTTAAATAGGGGAAATACACCATATTCTTAAGCAAATAGAAGCTTTACTTCATCAAAATCCCTGGTCGATTCAGCCCCCTCGAATTGATGGTCGAGATTGGTGGCTTGTGGCTTCTCATTTCCCAGCAAAAGGGGTCCAAATCCAAAAATAACAATCCAACTAAGGGTTACCGGATAAGGGATGCAACCCATTGAGGGAACAATAACATCATACAAGGGAGCCCAAAATTGAACTTGGGCTCACCAAGTGGATGCTCCAGGGGCAAAGAAACTCTGCATTGTGAGGGGTGATCGCTCAAGGCACAACACAAGTAACCCACAACTCCAATGGGCTTCCAAACGGATGGAGTAGGCAGCAAAGAGGACTGGAACAATC